AATTAGAGGATATACTGCCAGAGTTTCTCCAAGCTGCCCCCTCTTTTCTTTGGCAAGCTATTGGACTGTTAGCTTCCAGTCCCCAGCTTCCTTGACTATGAAGATTCCTTCCTAGTTTGGTTCAGAGCACAGATTCCACTTGCTTTTATTTTGCTTTCTAATTGCTTATTATTCTCCCAAGCACATACTTTTTCTTTGCTCTACTCCTCTATGTTGCTGAATATTTTGATCCTAAACAAAGGTTACTTTTGTACTCAGCTTGTTATGAGAGATCAGTAATATGTGACATGTGATATGTTTTCCAACTTTTATATCTTTATACTCCCCGGGTGTTTGGCCATGGAGATCATGTTTTGCTGAGTGTAATATCCTTGCCATTCAAATTTTAATTGAAGTAAATAGTAAAGCAAAGCTGGAGTAGAGTGGGTCTTTCTCCTTCTCCTGTCCCAGAGGAGGCATCCAAAAGTACTCACAGAATATGCAAAGTATTAAGATACTAACTTCTTAAACTTAGGATACATTCCATCGTATTACTTGTTTTTGTATGTGCATGTGGACTAAAAGTGATACCATGTTGAAGACTGTCTAATGCTATATTACAGGATATTTTGCTCTTTTGCAAAAGTAGAGAATGAAGACAGTGCAAAGTGCTACACATAGCACTGGGCGTTGACTGTTGGGAGGTAAAAGGCAACTGGTGTTCTTAGAGGAGAATTGGACAAAGTTGTACTTTGGCTACTCTGCTACTGTGTCAGCACCCTCTCAACACTCAGCCTCCCAGATGCTCCTCATGGGACCCATGCTTAGACATTATGTTGGCCCATGGGAGGATTAGCTGCAGCTCTTTTGCGTGGCTTGTGTCCTCTAACCCCAGAGTCATGGAATAGACCCTACTGTGAGTTGTTTATTCATGATATTGAGCTCTGCTTGTGGCAGGTGCTGTCATAGGCATAGGGCATACAGCAATAGAAAAGACAACAAGATTGTCTTTATTTTTTTGTTTGTTTGTTTGTTTTGTTTTTGAGACAGGGATCACCTCTTGCCCAGGCTAGAGTGCAGTGGTGTGATCTCGGCTCACTGCAATCTCTGGCCCCCAGGCTTAAGCAATCCTCCTGTCTCAGCCTCCCAAGTAGCTGGGACTACAGGTGTGCATCACCACACCTGGCTAATTTTTGTATTTTTTGTAGAGATGGGTTTTACCATGTTGCCCAGGCTGGTCTCAGACTCCTGGCTTAAGCAATCCACCTGCCTCAGCCTCCCAAAGTGCTGAGATTACATGCGTGAGCCACTGTGCCTGCCCTAAGATCCCTGTCCTTATGGAGCTAATATTCCAGGGAAGGGACAAGCAATAAAGCACAAGATAAGGTAATTTTATAGTGGTAAAGGTAGGATAAGGGAGGAGGACAGAGAGTAAACCATATGTCCTGCTTTAGAGGAATCCACATGCACATACAAAATCCAGTAATAGGATGGGAGGTATCCTAAGTTTAAGGCATCACATATGGTTCACTGTCTGTGAGGTGGCCTCTTTGAGAAGATGACAGTAGCACTGGGACCTGAGGTTGAGACTCAGTCACATGAAAACATAAAGCGACGCTGCCCAGCAGAACCCTCCACCTGCCACTGATGACATGTACTGTGCTGTCCAGCATGGTAACCACTGGTCGTATGTGGCGGTTGAGCCCTTGAAATATGGCTAATGCAACTGAGGAGCTGTGTTTTAAATGAAATATTAATAATTTAAATTTAAATAATGAAATGTGGTAAATAACTATCCTATTGGACAGTGCCGATGAGGGGAAGGACATTTCAGGTAGGGAGGGCAGCTTGTGCGAAGGTCCTGAGGCTATGTCACCCTGCGGATCCAACATGAGATCTCTGCCTGGAAGCTCTGGTCAGTTTTTAAAGAGCAAATCTGGAACATTTAATGACGCTTCCTGCTTCTGTTTTATGGGCCTCTGGAGAACCTACAAAGGAATAACAGTTAACCAGACAGGAGTTAAAATCCCTGCTCAACAAAGAACCTATTTCCTTTCCTAGGAAGGACTCATTCCCACATTGGCTGACTCACAACCCTTGACTGGTTTCCTCTGCTAATGGCTGTGGCCGGCCTTTGTCTGTGCAGGATGTAGCCTTTTCGTCACTGAACTTGTTCGTTCTGGGAACGAATCCTGCCTTTGTTCTGGACTTGCATCTTCTGGTAACAAGAGGCTGGAACCCCTACCATGGCTCCTTCAAGGGGTCGCTTTGTATTCCACATACAGTCCTCCATTCATCCTACGGGGCTGGGACCTCATCTTTTCTGGCATAGCTTTTCTATTTTCCTCCATTGCAATGATAGAGTAGTCAGTCCTGGTTTTAAAGAGAAATTGGTGTTTAGAGAGGATTTCACCTTTAATTGCCACTTTAGGTTGAAAGGATTAAGAAAGAAAAGGAAAGAAGAAATAAGAGAAAAAGAAAGGCCCCAGGAATGTTTCCAGTGGTTTTCTCACATGCCATGCGTGCATTGGGATCTCTCAGACCACGGAAGCCTCTCTACCTCCTGGGCAAGAATTGGGCTATTCGAAGCAGCCACTGGTTAATCCCAGCAGGGGCAGAGGGAGGGGCAATGGCAGGGACCAGCTCTGTCCATCCAGCATGGGTGGAGATTCGGCTCCAGCGAGATTCCCAGGCGAAAATAGAGATGAGGTAGCCAATGCTGGCTCAGTGTGCTGAGGATTAGAGGAGGCTCTGCTGCAGAGTCTGTAATCCTGGACTAGCCTGGATTTGTCATTGGTTTAACGATGAATCTACTCCTCTCTTTGTACTTACATAGCCCAAGAAAAAACAATGACCTAGTACCACCCTGAAAGGTATATGAAACCAAGCGAAGAGGATCCAAATGTTAAATTGGAGGCCACAGAGCCAAGCCCACCTCCATGGGTTGACCAGTTACTCTGCCTTCTTCCTTTGGTCTTACCTGACTGTCTGCAATTAGCTCAGTGGTGTTAGGGGGCACAGGGGAAGGCTGTGAGCTTCAAGCCGTGGCATGTACCAAGAAGCTGTCTCGATGTTGATGACCTTGATCCCTCCGATGGAGAAGTTTGAGATCATAAAATGAGTACCTGTGATGCCTCAACAATGTGCTGGCATGTTCCATCTCGTTTTGCAAAGAACCTTCCCAGAACATCAGTGTGAAAACCCACCTGAATTGGGTGCTTTGGCTTCATGTGTAACCGCGGCAGTGCTTCACGAAGATCCCTCCCATGCACATGTGCCTTGCCCTTACTTTTAGCATGTGGTTCTCCAGGAGAGAAATCCCTTCTTGGGAAAGGGGCTGTGTTAGACACCTTCATCTGAGGGGTTCATTGGAAGACTCTATAAGCTACATGGGTCAATATTAGCCCAGTTGAATTCCTTCGTCTTTTGTGTGTGTGTGTGTGTGTGTGTGTGTGTGTGTGTGTGTGTGTGTGTGTCAGGGTCTCACTCTGTTGCCTAGGCTGGAGTACAGTGGTGTGATCTCGGCTCACTGCAACCTCTGCCTCCTGGGTTCAAGCAATTCTCCTGCCTCAGCCTCTCAAGTAACTGGGATTACAGACACTAGCCACCATGCATGGCTAATTTTTGTATTTTTGGTAGAGACAGGGTTTCAACATGTTGGTCAGACTGGTCTCAAACTCCTCACCTTGTGATCTGCCTGCCTTGGCCTTCCAAAGTGCTGCAAGTACAGGTGTGAGCCACTGAGCCTGGCCAGGAATTCCTTTGTCTTATAAAAATTATTTTTAATTTCAAAATAGGTGTGTTTATTAAAGAAAAATTAGTTGGCTGGGTGCAGTGGCTCATGCCTGTAATCCCAGCACTTTGGGAGGCTGAGGCGGGCAGATCATGAGGTCAGGAGTTTGAGACCAGCCTGGATAATATGGTGAAAACTCATCTCTACTAAAAATACAAAAAAAAAAAATTAGCTGGGCATGGTGGTGGGCGCCTGTAACCCCAGCTACTCAGGAGGCTGAGCCAGGAGAATCACTTGAACCCAGAAAGGTGGAGGTTGCAGTGAGCCAAGATGATGCCACTGCACTCCAGCCTGGGCAACAAGAGTAAGACTCCATCTCAAAAAAAAAAAAAAAAAAAGAAAGAAAGAAAAGAAAAGAAAAATTAGCCTACAGCCATACTACCTTGAACATGTCTGATCTCATCTGATCTCAGAAGCAAAGCAGGGTCAGGTCTGGTTAGTACTTGCATGGGAGAAAATTTCGAAAACTTACAAGAAGAAAGAGGAGAAAAAAATTACGTATGATTCTACCATCTAAACACAGCAACTCCTGTTAACAGTTTGGTATGTTCTCCAATAGGATTTCTTTCCTACCAAAGGGTTATTTTGCCTTTTACATGGCTGTAACTGTAATATACATACAATTTTGTGCACTGGCTTTAGATTTAACATTAAATAGTAAATGAATAGTAAATATCACTTGTTAATGGCAGCATAGTATGTCCTTAAGTTCCGTGTACTTGGCACTTGGGCGACTTGAACCACAAGGACTCAGTAACGGCTGAATGTCACACAGTGAGTGGGTGATGCAGCCAGCCGTAGCCACCCCACCTCCCAGGTGAATTCTCATTATAGTCACTGGATCTCAGTCTTTCCCTGCCTTTGTCCCCACACGCGGGATGTATATCACTGCCAGTTGCCTCCTTACATTATTGTGTTTTAACGCCCTCGTCTACTCCAGTGAGGACCACTATACCACCCGCTACAGGACACGTCCCCGGTGTGGAGGTCAGATTATCCCTGTCTATCCTGGTACCGGAAGAGACCCATAGTATCATAATAAATAACAGTATTCATGGGGGCCAGGTGTGCCATGTGCTTCTCCCAACCCAACTTCCACCTCTTGCCTTAATACTAGTTTTGGAGTAAAAGAAAGGATTAACTGACCTGGCACACTGGCTCATGCCTGTAAAATCCCAACACTTTGGGAGGTCGAGGCAGGCAGATCACATGAGGTCAGGAGTTCGAGACCAGACTGACTGACCAACATGGTGAAACCCCGTCTCTACTAGAAATACGCCTTGCATATTGGGAAGTGCGTTAGTGGAAATACAAAGTCTTTGGAATCCAACAAACATTGTTTCAAATGACCACATACTAGGCTTTGACACTTTAGGTGAGGTACTCAGCCATTTGGAGCTTCAATGTTCTCATCTGTGAAATGGGGATAGTGATCTTAATTTGTCTTAAGACTTGTGAAGATCAACAGAATGTGTGAAGCAGGTAGCATAATGCCTTGTGTACCCAGACTTACTACCTACCACATGTTCACCCCTCCTTCCTTGCCTGGCACAGTGCTAGTATACAGTAGGTACTCAATACATCCTATGACATTGAACTGAATTTTCATTTGGGATGTTTAATTTGTGCCTCTTCATTTCCAGATTGGAACTGGAGTTGTGTCCTGGTCTCTGGGTAGGAGCTAGGACCATACAATTAGAAGGGCTTATTCTAAGTATCGACATTTATTCTCCTGGGAGTTGCATTCCAGGCCATGTCTGAGGGTTCCTTTTATTTTAATAATCAAGCTCACATTCAGTGTGTCATGTTATGGAGCTCGCAATAGCAGATACACAGCTCTGGCTGCACCACAGGACACATGGCTTCTACCATAATCCTGAAGGTAGGTGTGGTCCTCATCCTTCTTTCCTGTGGCTGGCTGTGGGTGGCAGGTTTCAGGCATTTGTTTTTAACCACTGCACATCACTGCTTCTCCCTCAATGGCAGACAGGAGCAGAGCCTTCTATGTGGATTTGGAATGATGTGTGTGGTGGGGCACTTTTCAGTAAACTCTTAGTCTAAGAAAGTTCTGGGCATAATGAAAGAAGACAGAGAGAGGAAGGGCCAAACCTGCTCACTGGAGTAGAACCTTGCAGTTTGGGGAAACCTAGTAGACCATGGGAAGCACTCAAGGCCAGAAGAGAAAGGCAGCCGCGGCCAGGCTGACTGGTTCCCTCAGGCCAGGAGCTGGGACTGGCGCTTTTAGGTGTCTGTGACTGAGTCAGCAGCTGAGGCCAACAGAGCCTGAGGCAGCCTGTGGGCTGTGACTAAATTAGGAAGAAAAAGCCCTTGGGCTCTCCTGGGAGCTCACTGGGGCAGGTGGGCCATGGAAGGGCCTCTGGTGGGCAGCTAGAAACAGACTGGTCAAACTGACTTTCACTTTGATTTTTCAGCGTAACTGTAGAAATGTCACACACTGGGTCTGAGTTCAGTCCCAGCAGGAGGGAAGACCCCCGATGCCGGGGTACCCCAAGCCCCATCTCCTCCAAGGGGCTAAGTAAAATAGGAGAATCTGGTAAGCTTCAATCACTAAGTCATTTATAAGCTCACTGGGGAGTTGTGACCTTTTAAAAGGAATATACCCTTTTGACTGTTTTGGGTAGGAGATTATAGTGGACACCAGGCATCGCAGGTGGACACCAGCCTGTCCCAGACAGGACAAATTGGAATGATGGTTGCTTTGCATCCATCATTCTAAAATCTGTGACAACAGATTTTGATTTTAGAAAATCACAAGAAGGTTCAGTTTGGTTTGAGTGTTTAAGGATTGCAGTGTGAGATTTGGAAGGAGGAAAGTAAAAAAAAAAAGTTGGCAGGAGAACGGTGGCTCCTAGGAAGAAAAGTTACATTTCTAAGTAATCAATCAAACTCTGAATGAGGCCAGCCAGGGCCTTTAGCCACTTCCTCACAGAGAGGGGCTTCTTGGTTTGTTTGTTTGTTTTTTTTTGTTTATTTGTTTGTTTGTTTGGTGTTGTACTTTCTGCAAGATTGGTTGAAGGCATTAGCCTGAGAGCACAGTTTCTCAACTGCAACACTATTGATATCTTGGGCCAAAGAATTCTCTTTTGTGGTGGTTGTCTTGAGCATTGTAGGATTTTGGCAGCATCCCTGGTCTCTGCCCAGTAGATGCCAGTTGCATCCCATCAACCCCCTCAGTTCTGACAACAACCTGTTTCCAGCATTACTCTGGGGGCCAAAATCGTCCCCAGCCACTGCTTAGAGCAAAGGAGAACTCACCTTTCCTACTGAAAGGAATTGCAGTTACCATTGGGTAGGTGAGATGATGGGTCGTCTCCGTTCATCTCCTGTTCCACAAAAATAAAGAAGGGCAAGTGTTTCTGGAGCTTTGCTGGTTGGGTGTCAGTTCGCCGGGATTGTCTGATGTAGCTGTATTGCTAAGGATTTTTAGGGTATCTTCAGGACCAAATTTTCACCCGTGAAAACCCAGAGTAAAAAGCAAGCAAACAAACAAGCAGACCACCACCCACAGCAGCAACAACAAAAAACAGAGAAGTAAACCAGGTGAGACTTTGGAATTTTATTAAAAATGGTCAGCGCGATCAGCCCTAGATCTCTCCGTCAGAAGTGCTCTCAGGAGGCCTGTCTGCATAGAGCTGGCTTGGGTGTTGATACGTGAAGAGGCTGAGAACATGTGGCATAAACATCGACTGATATTGTTTGCCATTGCCATTTACACTCAGCGTGTGTAATGCAGCAGGAATGGCTCCCAGTGGCATGTGACTGCCCTTCCAGGCGGGCATGCCATGCTCAGGCACTGCTCTTTCTCTTTCGCTCTCTTCCTCCCTTGCTTGCATACCCCCTCCGCTGCCCCTTTCCAGACTCGGGAGAGTTTGAGTGAAGGCTTGTCATGATTGGCATGCAGAAAGCTGGTAGAATGTCATTGGAATTTTCTAGGGAGGCACATGCGCGACACCCAAAATGACTCCTGGCTTCGGTGGCCACAGGTCAGCGCGTCGTGCCAGGCACCCTGGTCTGTTTCAGAAAGGTAAGGTTGCATGACGTCATCCTACCTTTCCCCAGCACAGGGGAGAAATCAAGGTTTATTTGTTTCTTTTTTAATTCTCCAGTTCAGGCAGTACCTCTGAACATGTTCTCGGCGCTGAGCGTTTGTGCATGAGTGTGCGATTTGTCTGTGTCCCCACCCCCTCCGTTTAAAAAAAAAATTAACAAATGATTCACAACGGCGGTTTAACATGTGACCTAAAACAGCTCCTCATGACCTCAGTGAAATCAGCGATCCTAATGTCAGGAAGTCTCGATGCTCTTTTTACGCCGGTTACTAAACTCTTCTATAAAGAAAAGTCGCGAGGCTACTGGAAAACAGATTGCGTTATCACCAGATCTGGGAGAATGGAAGGGGATGCATTCAGAATCCCAAAACTTTATAAATGATGGACATCTCTTAAGGGTGAGGTGTTTTGTGTTAATTGCTGGAATTTGGCAGTGATGGAAAGTGAACTTAAAGGTGTTTGAAACATCTCGTATCTGTTGAGTGTTGACTCATTCTGGACCAGGAGGGGAGTGCCGTGATAAAATTCATGAGCAGGGGATATTTCGCCAAGAAACAAGCTTGAGAATGGCTTCTGAGCACCCCTGAAGTAGCTGGAATATGAATTTCAGCACCTCTTAGAGATCTTTAAGTAAAGTTAAGTTTTTAAACAAAACTATTTTCATTGTCGCCAAGCAAGCAAGCAAGTCTATAAACTTCTGTCGTGTGGTTCAGGGCACAAATTTGGACATGGACATGATGGTCTGTTAGCAGACTCAAGCACAACCAAACATGACTCACCTCATTTCTCTATCTGATGCAATTACAAGTAGCTTCAACACACGTGGTAGAGGAATACTAGTTTTCTGCTTGCAAGTGTGTAAAAGCAAATCCACACTCATAAAACAGCATGGACAGGGTATCTTATATCACGGAGTTTTTTTTTTAACCTTAAAAATATCTTTTATGTAGCTTTGCCATTGGTGCCATTGGTTTCTGCCTTATATGCACTGGAATCTTTTCTTTCTTGCAATTCTGAGATGTGAGAAAACTGAAGGGGAGAGGGTTAACATGTTCACACACTTGCCCCTCCCCCACGTGCTTATGCTAACAGCTGCCATGTATGATTTTTGTGGAATTTGATATTTCGAATGAAATGACTTCCTTATTTTCCATAGTCATATAATAATCAATTTTACCATAGAGAACAGTGTACATGTCAAGCCTTGGCTGCTTCTAATTAGCAATGGATAGGGTAGCTGGGGAAAGCGCAGGAGAGCAGTTTCAAGGAAAAAAAAAAATCAGTCTTCAAGCTTTAACCATTCTTTCTGGCCTCAGCCAAGGCAGTTTTCAATCTGCTTGGATCTTAACTGACCACAGGTTTAGTTTGTGGTGTTCTGAGAAAATATGTAGAATGGCGCGTGCAAATGTGATGAAGATGGGTCTGTGTATCTAACCGTTGTGGGGTTGTCTTTTATCTCTACTCTACATAACTTTCTTATGGCCACAGCTTTGTAAGATAGAGGCAAAAGCCAGAAGTAAGGCACATGTAATATTCTCTGCCTTGGGCGACATCTATGTTTTGTTGGCTGTAGTCAGAAAGGTATGTGTCTTAAGGTACCAGAAACTTCCATCCATTTTGGGAAAGGGATATTTTTCTCAATAAATAGTTATATGGCTTATTTACAAAGCCCCAATCTTAATGTTCTCATTTAATCTAAGGAATGTAAAGGAATGAAACTGTGCACATTCCCAAAACACACACGGAAACATATACCACGTCCTTCACAAGGAAACAGAGTATTTGGGTAAGACCTACATTCCCACAAGCTTAAGACAGTCATAATTTCAAGTCGGTTGAACGACTATTTGTTCAGTGCCTCTAATTTGCCCAGTGCTGAGCCACGTAGGCACTTGGGAGTTTGAAAGATTCTAGGATGTGGATGATGTCCTCAAGGTGCTTATAATTTAGAAGGCAAAACTCCTCCCCTGGCAAACCTCACCTGGCTTTCTGCAGCAGAAACTGTATGTGTTCTCTGGGGGAAATCTTATTGCAAAAAATAGTTATTGAATTGCATGGGAAGGTGCATCAATAGAGCTAAGAAATATTTTTAGCTCGATTGTGTTTGACTCTTTGTGGACTTGTGACCCTTTGTGGACTTGTAAAAGTTTCAGTATTTATTCTTCAGGGTCAGTTAAGACAAAAGGCCATGCTGTTTGGAGTGACAAAAAATGGCTTATGGAACCCAAAGTAATAAAGAACAGATTGATTCTATTCTTTTATAGATTGGTAATTCTTAGACTTTGCTGCACGATTGTTCTCCTGGGGAGTTATTAATATTACAAATTCCAATGCCTTGGTTGAGTCAATCTCTGAAAGTGGGACTCAAGCCCCAGTACTTTTTAAAACTTCCCAAGTAATTCCTAAATGCCACCAAGTTTGAGATCTAGTGATAGAAATGACTTTATCAACAACCTTTTTTTGGTTGTTTATTTGGTTTTTTTAGCCTAAGCCTTCTAGGGTGAGTTTTGGAACAGGCTTTTTATAATGATGGGGGTGGGTGTTGACTAAACAACTTTCAGCCTTCTGGAAGCTCACCTTCTGTTCTCTGCACTAGTGAACTCAGTGTGGATGGAGGTATGCTTTCTCCCTTTCCCACAAACCTGGTAATATGACGCCAAGTCAATCACTCAACCATCTACGTTACCTAAGGTTTCCTGAACCTTGAATGTTTTTATTACAGGAGCCCAAATGTTCTGAAAATCTTGATTATGTCTCTTAAGGGAAGGTAGTTATATGATTAATTACATGTGCCTCTTGAAATTATTTTTGCATTGTCTGAAACCCCCATGGAAAAGGAAGTCCATTCTTGGTGTACTTGCAGCTAGTAGAAGTAGCTCATTAAAATACAGGGGTTACTCAATTCCTGATAACTCACTATAGATTTTTTTTTTTTTTTTTTCAGACAGGGTCTTGCTCACTCACCCAGGCTGGAGTGCAGTGGTGCTATCATAGCTCACTGTAACCTCAAAACCCAGGGCTCAAATGATCCTCCCACCTGAGCCTCCCAAGTAGCTGGGATTACAGTTGTGCACCACCATGCCTGGCCACTTTAAAGACTTTTTTTAAGAGACAGGATCTCTCTATGTTGCCCAGGCTGGTCTCAAACTCCTGGCCTCAAGTGATCCTTCTGCCATGGCCTCCCAAAGCGCTAGGATTACAGGTGTGAGGCCACTGTCCCCAGCCACCTCACCATAGATTCTTAGAGTTGGAAAGTATTTTCAAAATATTCTAGTGCCGTGGTTTTCAAAGTGCAGCATCAGCCTCACCTGGACTTGTTAGAAATGTACATGTTCAAGCTCCACCCCCAGATCTTCTGAGTCAGACACAGAGATGACGGTGTGGGTGGTGGTGAGGGGCGGGCCCAGCATCTGTGTTTTAGGAAGTTCTTCTCTCTGGCTGCCCACCAAAATTTGAATTACTGCTGTTATTTCACCTTGTCAGAAACTGAGATACCTCAGTCCTGGCATCTGCCTCTGCATCATGGCCAGATCATCCTAACTTTTCTATGTGTCATGAATAACTGCCTTAAGAAAACACCCACCATCCTAAAATCATAAGGTATAAAGAAACCTTAAATGTTGTCTCATCTGACTCTCCCATTTCACAGATGAGAAAACTAAGGTCAATAGGGTGACATGAAGTCAATAAGATGTAGAGTCATTGGTGACATTGCTTTTGGTCTACTTATAACCAAACACTCCTCCTCCCACACTGGCCCACATTGCCTCTCCAGTTTCATGTGGACTTCTAGTGTTTGGCATAAATCACATCAGTTAAAATGTCTAGGTTAATCGACAGGCAACTCTAGAAAAAGACCAACTATTTAAGAATTTTAATTCTTTAAAATTATTCCAAAATTCTTTAATTTCAAATTGGCTTGAATTTTATAACCATCTTTGTACATTTAATAGAAAAAAATCTCAGTGGTGTAAACTGCTGAAAAGAAAATTCACAGAACATGGGGAGTACTCCTGGAACATAGGTTTCATCCCAACATCATGTAGATTAGGCACTAACAGTGCCTCAGAGGCACACACTGAAATTACATTTTCTTCAGATTTAGTTAAAAGGAAAAATGTGACAAGAAGCCTGTTTGTTGAATACTTTAAAATTTTATACTTGATGTAGTTGGTGATATTTACGTAATTTTGTCAGTGTTCAAAGACTGAATCTAATCCACATTTTCTGCAGAGCTTCATCTTTCAAAACATTGTAGCAATACACAGGGAACATTTAGCCAAGAAAACGAATGGAGAATGCACAGCTATTATCTACATACCCACATACATGGAGCAGGCGTGTCCATGGATAATTTTTTTTTGTTTTTTTGTGGATTTTTTTGAGACGGAGTCTGGCTCTGTTGCCCAGGCTGGAGTGCAGTGGTGTGATCTCAGCGATTCTCCTGCCTCAGCCTCCCGAGTAGGTGGGACTACAGGTGTGCACCACTATGCCTGGCTAATTTTTGTATTTTTTTTCAATAGAGACCAGGTTTCGCCATGTTGGTCAGGCTGCTCTAGAACTCCTGACCTCAAGTGATCCTCCTGCCTCACCGTCCCAAAGTGCTGGGATTACATGCGTGAGCCACCATGCCTAGCCCATTGGATAGAAGTGTTTATTGGTTCCACACACCTACCATGTGCCAGGTATTATGGTATGGTATGGGACACATATAGTTCCTATCTTCGAATGATCATGGAACAGTGGGGAAGTCAGGCAAGTGCTTCAGTAGACAATTATAAGAGCAGGTGGTGGAGTTAGAAGAGAGTACAATTGAGGTTAATGGAGCAGAAGGGCATTCTGAAGATCATGAAAGGGACATCAGTGCACACTAGATGGGAGCAGAAACCAGAGAAGGCTGCCTGGAGGAGGTGTCCTGTGAGCTACATTTCAAAGGATGGTAGATGTCTAGGTGAAGGGGAGTAGGGAGGAGGTT